TCAAATCTCAGGTAGCTGAATTGCATGTGATCATATTTGGGTCTTCAGTTTTGTTCCATGGATCTGTGGGTCTATTTTTGTGCTAGTATCATGTTGTTTTTATGACTATAGCCCTGTAATACAGTTAAAATCTGGTATAGTAATCCCCTCAGCATTGCTCTTAGTGCTCCGGGTTGCTTTGGCTATCCGAGGTCTTTTGTGCTTCCATATGAATCTCAGGATGGATTTTCCCAATTCTGTGAAGAATGTCATGGGGATTTTGATTGGCATTGCATTAAATCTATAAATGGCTTTTGGTAAGATGGTCATTTTCTCAATATTAATTCTTCCAATCCATTCAAATTTAGTAGTGTATAGGTTTTTAAAGTATTCCCTTATAGTGTTCTGGATCTTTTTGGTGTCTGTTGTGATGTTTCCCCTTTCATCTCTGATTTTGTTGATTTGGAGGTTCTCTTTCTTTGTTTAGGTTAACTGGGCTAGTGGTCTATCAAATCTTGCTAATCTTTTCAAAGAACCAGCTCTTAGATTTGTTGATTCTTTGTACTGTTTTCTTTGTTTCTATTTCATTAGTTTCTATTCTGATTTTTGTATTTTTTCTTGTCTGCTGGCTTTGGTTTTCATTTGCTGTTGCTTTTGAAGTGTCTTGAGTTGCAGTGTTATATCATTTATTTGTGTTCTTTCTGATTTTTTAATGTAGGCACTTAGAGCTATAAAATTCCCTCTAAGGACCGCTTTCCAGCGTGTCCCAGAGGTTTTGTTTTGTTCTCTTGTCCTTTTCATTTAGTTCCAGGAATACTTTTCTTTCTTAATTTCTGCTTTGACCCATTCATCATTCAGAAGTGTGTTGTTTAGTCTCCATGTGTTCGTGTTGTTACTAGGGTTTCTTCCGTTGTTAATTTTATGCTTTATTGCATTGTGGTCTGATAGAATGTATGGAATTATTTCAGTCTTTTTGTATTTGTTGAGGTTTGTTTTGTGCCCCAGTATATGGTTGACCTTCATATGTCCTTTGAAGTGCTTGGGTGGAATATTCGGTAGATGTCTGTTAGGCCCATTTGATGTATGGTATTGTTTAATTCAAATGTCTGTTAATTTTCTGCCCTGTTGACCTATCTCATGGAGACAATGGGGTATTGAAGTCCCCTGCTATTAATGAGTTGGGATTAATCTGGGTCTTAAAGTCCTGTAGTACTGTTTTTATGAAGTTGGGTGCACCAGAGTTTGGTGAATATATGTTCATGATTATAATATCTACTTGGTCAATTGTTCCTTTGATCAGAATGAAGTGACCCTCCTTATCTCTTCTGATTAGTTTTACTTTGAGGTCTATTTTGTCAGATATTAGAATTGCAACCCCTGCTTATTTCTTATTGCCATTTGCTTAGAGTATTCTTTTCCATCCATTTACCTTAAGGTAGTGCCTGTCCATCAGATGAGTTTCTTGCAGACAACAAAAAGATGAGCTTTGTTTCTTAATCCATTCAACTAGTCTGTGTCTTTTGAATGGGGAGTTCAGTCCATTTATATTTAAAGTTATTAATGAAAGATGTGTATTGATTCCTGTCATTTTTATTTCTGTTCACATTCTTGGTGTAGCCGTGCATTTGCATAGTTATACCTTCATTAAGTTTCTTTCCATAACCCCTTGGGTATAGTTGTTTCTTTCTTCAGATCTTTTTATTGCTTCAAGAACTCTCTGAAAGGCTGGTTTTGTGGACATGTATTGTTTCAGCCTATTTATATCATGGAAGATTTTTCTTTCTCCTTCGAATATAATAGACATTTTGGCTAGGTAAATAATCTGGGTTGCCATCTGTGGTCAGTTAAAACTGGAAATACTTTGGTCCAGGCTCTTCTGGCTTTCGTAGTTTGCACTGAAATGTCAGCTCTAATTCTGATGGGTTTTTCCTTTATATGTGACTTGTTGTTTTTCTTTTTCAGCCTTCAGTATTCTCTCTTTGTTCTGTACTTTTAGTGTTTTTACCGTGATGTGCCATGGAGAGTTTCTTTTCTGGTCCTGTCTATTTGGTGTTCTGTGTGCTTCTTGTATTTGTATGGGCATGTCTTTCTTTAATTTGGGGGAATTTTCTTCTACAATCCTGTTGAAGATCTGGTCCATACCATTATGCTGAGATTCTTCTCCTTCCTATATGCCTATGATGTGTTAAGTTTGGTCTTTTTATGGTGTCACACAATTCCTACATACTCTTGTGTTTTCTTAAATTTTTCATAATCTTTGCTTGAGTGGTCTAATTTGTCTACTTTATCTTCCAGTCTTGATATTCTGTTTTCCATTTCATTAATCCTATTGGTGAGGTTTTATCCTGTCATTTCCAATTGGCTTACTGAGTATTTCACTTCTTCATTTCAGCCTGAGTTTTCTTCAATATTTCTAACTCTTTTCTGAATTCATTCAGAAGTTTATCCCTGTCTCCTTTGAGATTTTGATTTCTTCCTGTGTTCTTTAAATTCACCGAATTCTTTTATCATCTTTATAATTGTTCTTTTGAGTTCCATATCCTGTGTTATCTCTAGGGAGTTCTCATTGTACTCCTCTATAGGACTGTTGGTACTTGGGTAGGGATATATTATTTTGGTTTTTCTTGTTATTTTTTCTCTGTGACTTTGACATGTGGATTTCTTTTGTAGTTTCTGGTTCTTGTGTGAGACTCAAGCCTGCCTTTGTTGAGTTTAGCTGCCTCTTTTTGTAAACTTTATGTGCCTTTGTGATTTGCTTGTTGGGCATGAAAAGCTGGTTGGTCTAGGCTTCAGGTTCTCTCTTGATTTTATATTGGAGAGGCCAAATTGCTTTGGTCTTGCCGCTCAGGTTCCCATAGAGGCCCAAGTCGGATGAGGATCAGATGCTCTCAGGCTTTCTCCTGAAGTCTGGATTCCTCCAGGAAAGATGCTGGTCTCAGGAATTTGAGGGCTGGGCTGGCCTGGGAGCAGGGCCCAGGGAAGATGCTGGCCCCCAGGGACGCAAAGGGAGATGAGGACAAGAAGAGGCCTGAGGGCTCCTGGGGACTACAGGGAGGAACTGGGTTGGTCTAGATGCAAAGGATCAGGAAGCAGTGGGGATTCTGGGCAGTCCACAGGTCTGGTGTGTGCCACAACAAGAAATGGGCCAGTGCCCCTGCTAGGAGGAGAGATGGGGTTGGGGAGCTAGAAGGGTGAATGAGGCTAGGGAGGTCAAGGCACAGTGGGTGCAACAAGACTTACCCAGGAAATCTGCTGGCTCCAGGAATCTGTGGGGCTGGGCTGCCTAGTGATGGCAAGGGAGGTAGGGACTAAAGGGATGAATTGGGTTGGTCTGGATGCCAAGGATCAGGAAGCAGTGGGGAGTTTGGGCCAAGAGGTCAGTCCAGAGGTGTGGGGTGCCAGGACAAGTAAAGTGCCAGTCCCCCTGCTAGGAGGAAAGATGGAGTGAGGGAGCTGGGAGGGTGAATGAGGCTTGGGAGTCAAGGCACAGTGGGCCCCCCAGCAGCCAAACTTACCCATGCAAGCTGCTGGCTCTCCACACATTTCTTTTTATTATTCATAAAATAGTTGTGAGAATAGGCAGTTGTTATATTAATATTGCAGATAAAGAAATTGAGATACAGTGTAACTAATTTACAGCTAGTAAGTGAAGAGAAAGTTGTGAATCCAAGCTGTTTGGCTCCAGAGTCCCTCTCAGCTCTGAAACACTAGTGGAGAACTGCAGTGGTAGTTTCCCTTGCTCTAGAGAAAACTCTCTGATGACATCCCCTCCACTCCCACTTATACTAGAAAAGCTACTCTGAAGTGGTGAACTAGTGTTTATAGTTGGTCTGAGTATCTCCTGTATCACACTTACCCCACCTTTGAGAAATGAAGGATGTTTCTAAAATGAAGTGCTGCGTGTGCCAGCAAGCAGTTGTATAAAAAATACTGCCATTCTGGTATTTATCAAAACTAATCTTTATTTGGTACTTACGAAATTTTTTTTTTTGAATTTTTAATAGCCTTTTACAAATACAGTCTTTCAGTCAATATTAAAAGCAATCCTGTGAGAACTTATATCAGTATTCCTGTTTTTAAATGAATGAGGTGTAAAGAAATTAAGTTTTCCAAGGTTGTATATAGCTTGAAAGGCTGAAATTGAGGTGCTCTGGCTCAAAATTTCATATTTCTCCTATCCCAGTACTAACCAAGCCTGACTGCTTAGCCTCCCAGATCAGACAAGATTGGTTGTGTTCAGGGTGTTATACCCTTAGACAAAATTTAATAATTCTAACAGTGCTGTGCCATAGTAACTTGGTTTCCATTTTATAATTAGGATGATTTTATTTGAAGACAAAATAGTTTTCACAAATGCATTTTTCATATTATGAATTTCAATTTTTATACTTATTTATACTGAGATACAAAGTTACAATGTTGAACTTCAGAAAAAACCCAATATGGTAATTAAGTTCATTTTAAAAATTAAAACAGGGCTGGGACGGTAACCCAGTTGGTAAAGTGCTTGCCGTGTAAACATGAGAAACTAAGTTTGATCCTGGTAAAAAAAAAAAACAAAAACCGAATGTGGTGGCATGTACTTGTGATCCCAGCACTGGGGACTCAGAGACAGGCAGCTCCTTGGGCTCACAGGCCAGCAAATCAATCATAATCAGTGAGTTCCAGGCCAAGTGAGAGACCCTGTCTCCAAAAACAAGGTGGAGGGCACCTGAGGAACCTCTGGCTTCCTCATGTGCACATATGGTGGGGACATGCTCGTTCTTCTTCCTTCCACTCTTGCCCTCCTTTCTCACAGCTCAGTCTTTCTAAAGGTGCTGTTCAATTGATGAGCAACACTAAAAGCAGTTTCCAGTTTTTACTATAGGGAAGAGCTTTGGGGAAGATCCTAAAGGGGAACAGTGAAGTGTAATCACCATACCTGTCCGCCACAGGTGTCCTTGGTTTCATTCAATCCAAAAAATGCTCTACAGACTCCTGGTACTCTGCTACAAACTTAAAGTTATTTAACTCTGTTTTAGGAATTGCAGCCATGAATGAAGAAAACATAGATGGAACAAATGGATGCAGTAAAGTTCGAACTGGTACTCAGAATGAAGCTGCACTACTGGCTTTAATGGAAAAGACTGGTTACAACATGGTTCAAGAAAATGGGCAAAGGAAATTTGGGGGTCCTCCTCCAGGTGCGGATTTGTTTGTAGGCATTTAAATCTAGCATAATCATTTACATTAGGTGTGTATCCCCACAATTATCCCAACCAATCTCAGCAGTGACCTTGAAGGGAAAGATGGTACATTTTTAAAAACTTGCTCTTGTTTCAAGAAGTGACTGAGAAATACTTGGTTTGAATTTAGAAAGAAATCAAGATTTAGGGAAACAAGGGAAAGTTTATTCTTGGCACTAAAGGGGAGTCAGTTGGAGAGGAATTTGAAAGCAATGAGTGGAGGAATAGTATTTATGTTACTGTTCTACCAATAGCCTTTGCATTTCCTTTGCTCAAACTTTCAATTGCCTTGAACAATTATTCTTTAAATAAAATTCTGAGCTCTGGTTACTTCAGTGGCTACTTCACTACTCTGCTCCACCCTTTAGTACACTTGAGGCCTATAGGCCTCCATATTCTGTTTTGTTTTTGATTTCTCTTCTTCCCGAATGCCCTTCTCCCACATAATCCATTTACTTCACGGCCTTGTTTCACTCAGGTAATCATTTAAACCTTGTGCTCTGAGATTTTACCTGACTGTGTTGTTGAAGATAATACCTCTTACTTTCTTCACAGTGCTTGATCATTTGCTTACTATCTCTTAGGGCTTTGTTAAAATAAGTTTCACAAGGGAGAGAACTTTATTAGTATATCTCCAGCACCTAGAATAAGGCATGCTGCATAGGAGGCTGGTGGGCAATTTGATGAATGAATAAAAGATTCACTAATCATTTATTGTTTTAGAATTTAATTTTTAAGTGTGTTCATATTCATCTTTCAGGTTGGGAAGGTCCACCTCCACCTAGAGGCTGTGAAGTTTTTGTAGGAAAAATACCTCGTGATATGTATGAAGATGAATTAGTTCCTGTATTTGAAAAAGCAGGGAAGATATATGAATTTCGACTTATGATGGAATTTAGTGGTGAAAATCGAGGTTATGCTTTTGTGATGTATACTACAAAAGAAGAAGCCCAATTAGCCATCAGAATTCTTAATAATTATGAGATTCGGCCAGGGAAGTTTATTGGTGTGTGTGTAAGCTTGGATAATTGCAGGTTATTTATTGGCGCCATTCCCAAAGAAAAGAAAAAAGAAGAAATTTTGGATGAAATGAAGAAAGTTACAGAAGGAGTTGTAGATGTTATTGTTTATCCAAGTGCAACTGATAAGACCAAAAATCGTGGTTTTGCATTTGTGGAATATGAATCTCACAGAGCTGCTGCTATGGCTAGGAGAAAACTAATTCCAGGTAAATTAATCCTCTTGAGGTGATTTTTACACATTAACCCCCATTGTAAATATGGAAAAATAACAGTACATGATATATCATTATTAGCAAAACAAGTGATGCCACTTAGAGAGGAATAAAGAATTGTTTTAGTGAGGAAGTAATGACTATAAAAGACAAACTGTTCCTAACAAAATGAGTTATGTTTACTAATTACTGAATATTGCTTTAACTGAGCTGTTACTGTTTAACAAAAATCCAGAGTATTATTTTCCAATTATCAATCCTCCAAGTTTGTTTGGTGTATTTACTCTTAAATCCTGTCATACATGCTGATTAGTTTTGCTTTGGTACAGACTTTTGTGTGAGTAGGATATAAGTGCTTAGGCAAATACAGTGATACATGTTTGAAAGATAGTTCTGTGTACTTTGGAGAAACAATTTTATGTAGCACTTTATACTTAAATCCTTTGATTTAGCTACCTGCAATCAATTTGCTCACTTTTCTTCTAGGAACATTTCAACTGTGGGGCCATACTATTCAGGTAGATTGGGCTGATCCTGAGAAAGAAGTTGATGAGGAAACCATGCAGAGAGTTAAAGTTCTCTATGTAAGAAATTTAATGATCTCAACGACAGAGGAAACAATTAAAGCAGAATTCAATAAATTCAAGCCTGGAGCAGTTGAACGAGTAAAGAAACTTAGAGATTATGCTTTTGTTCACTTTTTCAACCGAGAAGATGCAGTGGCTGCAATGTCTGTTATGAATGGAAAATGCATCGATGGAGCAGGCATTGAGGTAACACTGGCAAAACCTGTAAATAAAGAAAATACCTGGCGACAGCAGCTTAATGGTCAGATTAGCCCCAATTCTGAAAACCTGCTTGTATATGCTAACAAAGAAGAAAGTCATTCCAAAACTCTAGGCAAGCCACCAGCTCTTCCCACTCGGCTCAATGGTCAGCATAGCCCAAGCCCCCCTGAAATTGAAAGATGCACTTATCCCTTTTATCCTGGGACAAAGCTTACTCCAATTAGTATGTATTCTTTAAAATCCAGTCATTTTAATTCTGCAGTAATGCATCTGGATTATTACTGCAACAAAAATAATTGGGCCCCACCAGAATATTATTTATATTCAACTACCAGCCAGGATGGAAAAGTGCTCTTGGTATATAAGATAGTCATTCCTGCCATCGCAAATGGATCCCAGAGTTACTTCATGCCAGACAAGCTCTGTACTACCCTGGAAGATGCAAAGGAACTTGCAGCCCAATTTACATTGCTTCATTTGGGTAAGTTTAAAGATACTTTAAATATTGAAATTAGAGAATTCTGTGATAGACTATAAAATGCATTTACTTTGAACACTTAACATTAATGATAAGTATTTAAAGTGAATTTTATCTCATTTTTTATGAGATAGGAGCAGGAAGATCACTCAGAAGTTTGAAATCCATAATTTTGTTGAAATGGGGCTTCTTTATAATTTTCCTACATTTAGCTTTTCAGCATTACTTACCTAGAGGGAAGTTCAGTTTTGGTCAATTAATGGAGTTCAGACTCTCTTTCATTATTTTTTTGTAATGAGGATTAAATCATTTGATAAAAATTTTTGTGTAACTTAAGAGATTTGTTAGGCGAACCAGTTTTTAGGACTGTTCTGTATCTTTGGTGAAGTCTACACAAAATTTTTGATGGGAAGGGGTGGAGATTCATAAAATCAAACGTCTCATATGGGTCATGTGTAGACACAGCCTTATGCTCACCAGTCTGGAAATTTGTCATTATTACTCATGAAAGACACAGAGCACATTAAGAGATGTTGAGGATGGTTCTCTTTTCAAATTTTATGCTTTTAAGGAACTAAGCTTTCTTAAATGTTGGAGGGATGATTAAGGATTAGGGCACAGGAAAAATTCACTAACTTTGATATTAAAAATAAAAAGACATCATAATCCCCTGGCATTTATTATGCTAGCCTCTTTGTACACCAGTAAATCGCACATTCTCATGCACCTGTAGGGTTTAGTTGGTGATTACTCTGTGTCCCCAATAATTTTTATCAGAAGAGATTTCTTGAGAATAGAGTCAATTAAAAGGAAAGGCCTCCTAAGAATTATAGTTGCCAACTGTTAGCTTAAAATTGATTTTTATTTGGTTTGAGGGTCATATTACTGATGCTTATATCTATTTATAAAAAGATATTCTCAACATTTTTCAAGAGAAGTAGTCAAAAAGGAAAAGTACTGTCAAAAGGGAAAGTAGCTGGATGTGGTGGTGCCTACCTGTAATCCTAGGATTCAGGAGACAGAGTCAGGAGGGTCACTATAAGTTTAAGACAAGCTTGGTTTACATAGTGAGTTTCTGACTAGCCAGGGCTATATAGAAAGACCATCTGAACCCCTCCCACCAAGAGAAAAAGGAAAGTAACCTTTATATATTCTATGCTGCTTGTCTATCATAGCCACTCCCATGGTATTATGAGTATTTTAAGGGAATTTGGATTTGAAAACTATCAAAATTTGGGGGTGACTATAGAGTGTCCTTGGAAGAAGATTTTCACTAGTGTCTTTTTAAAATAGTTTAGAAATATTTGAGAATTTAGCAATCATCTAAATTCATAAACTCATAGGTAAGGATTTTTTGATGCACAAACAGAAGACTTCCATTTTTTATTTTAATAAAGAGCATTTAAGTTAAAGGATAAAATAAATGGAGAACAAATGATTTTACTTATAGTTCTTAAAGAAAAATAGTAAAGTACTCTTTTTCCAGTGGCAAATAGGTAGTTTCCGATGAGATTTTCCCATACCACTTATGTGTCTGAATCACCTTGGTGATGCTGAAACAGTTTTATTTCAAGTTTTGCTTACAGCAAACATGACTGTTTTAGTCTGTTTTACAGCAGACTTTTATGTAGACTGTTTTTACCCACCTGATCATTATAGATTACATACAAAGCCAAAACCTTTCCTTAATAACCCTTTAAACTCCCCTGTGAAGAAGCATTTAACTTCAGTCCTAGGGCTGTAGTTCATTATTACTGACCTAAGAAAAGAAAAAACATTCCCAATTTGTTTTAGGGATGCAATTAGATATGTTTAACCTTTTGACATTGTGGCACAACATTGTCATATAGAGTTCACGCTTGAGAACTGCACAATCAGTTACAAAATTGCAAAACAAATCTCATGTTTAGAGTAGTTTTATAGTTTTGTGTTGGAATGCATTCATAGCCACACTAGAGTACATGCATTCCACGAGTAGGACGCACCTGATAAGGGTGCATGCAGATTGCCTTAGTCAACTTATTTTAGATATTTTAAATCCTGTATTGGAGCTTCTTTGAATGAAAAAATTTGAGCAGTTTATATTTTGTATATTTTCTCTGTTTCTATTCATCACTAGGGAGAATATAAATAGTAGCTAAATACAAAGAAAAAAAAAACCTGGGGACTGGGATGTAATGTAGCCCTAGCAAGTGCTCGGCCCTGTGTTCAGTCCTTATCCTCTGCCCCCAAATAGATTAAATGCTACAGCTTATTTGGGCATAGCACATCAGACTAGATGCCTTGAATAGAGAGTAACACACACACAAAAAAAATTGACTAGAAATGTGCTTGACTAGAAATTAATTGGAGGCTGTTAAAATATTGTTTAGGCAACTGAGGAATAGGAGAGGGAGGGAATTCAAGGAAGCAGAGAAGCCCAAGATCAGGAATTTAAGAAATTTTGATCAGAAAACAAGTGTGATACCTTTAAGAATCATTAAAGCCAGGTCAAGAGCCATGTATAGAGAGGAGGCTTTGTGTTGCTAAATGGGAGGTTGAGGGTAGATTGAATACTGCTGGTAGCAATGTTCTAGCTTATTTTCTTTCCTGTAATAATATTGGATCTTCTAATGACAGATCTTAAAGTGTTGATATCTTTTAGGCACATCTCTCCTGTAGGTAAAGATTGTAGAGTTTTATGGGATAATTCATGCTTGGGGTCAGTTGAGTGTAGGGTGAGTTCTTAAAGGACACACTAGCATATTGTTCTATCTTGCTAAGTCTTTGAAACATTGATTATTATTATTTTTTTCCTGAGGTTTTGGGAGGTTGTCTGCTTAAGAGTTCTGCAAACAGACTTCTCTAAGTATTACATCATCTTTTGGTTATATATATTTATTATTTTTATTTTATGTGTATGAGTGTATTGCCTGCATGTATGTGAGTGCACCTGTGTTGTGCAATGCTGCGGAGGTCAGAAGAGGGTGTCGGACTCCCCTGGAACTGGAGTTAAGGACGGTTCATAGCCGCCATGTGGGTGCTGGGAATTGAATCTGGGTCTTCTGCAAGAGCAGTCAGTGCTCTTAACCACTGTGCCGTCTCTCCTGTCCCCTTTTGGTTATATATTTTTTAAAGAAGAATTTCATAAATGAATTTTGTGACTAGTAAATTAAATTTAAAGATATTTTCTTTGGTTATAGTAATTTTACCTGAAAAATTTTTGCTTTGGTACTCTATGAACCCTATCATTTTTGTGGTTCTTTTTAACCATTATTATCCAGTTTCACTTTATGGTCCTTTTCTTTGTAAACAATGACAGTGTTATGCCAGCTCTTTACCACCAAGCTATTCCCCAACCTGACCTTGATGATCTTTGATTATTTTTATGCACTAAAACAATCAGCTATTTTGGATCTCTTGAAGAATATACTCTTAATACCACATAATTTTGGATTTTGATGTCCTCATTTTTCAAGTTAAAAACGTGAAGAGGATAGAAAAGTTGTTGCATACCTAAATGGCCATCTTTGTGTTTTGAAGAAAAAAATAAGAGTCCCTAAGGGATGATAGACATCTTAAATGAAGATTAGAAATCAGCTCAGTTACTTCTAGTGACTCTTGATTTAAAGTACCTTATAATCAATTTAAAATATATGGTTTTGTTCCATCTAATGAAAACTGTATTTTAATTAAAATATCTATAATAGAAAGAAGACTGAAAGCTGCGGTTAATGCCAGAATTGAACTCTCTTTCTTCAGAATTAGAGATTATCTTCATTATTTCAGAATTAACCTTCCCTATCTCATCCATCCAGCAGAATAAGCAGTGCTTATTTTTAGGAACCTGAAATAAGGAGGATATACGCAGTGAGTTTATACAAGACAGAATCTTGCTATATTTGCCCAAACTGGCTTTGAACTTGACATCTTCCTGACTCAGCCTCCTGAAATCAGTAAATTCAGTGAGTAGAATGCAGACTTGGTTAGGAGAGATAAGTTCTATACTCAGTGTTTGATAAATAGGAGACATTTTAGATTATTCAGTATCACTTCTTTATAAATGTCTTTTCTGTTTCATAATTTTGTGTTTGTTTAGTAATGAGCCACTATTAGTGTGAATAATCCAGCCTTTCCTGAATGTTTGAACATATTTTGAGTATGGGCATTTCAGTATTGCCTTTGCTTTTTTAGATATTTAGACTTTTTCTTGAAAAAAGTCTTAGAGAATTTCAAGTGGAAGGAGAGAGTCTGCGTATGTGTTGATGTGAGTTGAACTTCTAAATAATTAACAATTGTAGGGAAGGCATCTCTTCTTGTTTCTGTATGTAATTCTGATACCAGTAGTAGTTTTTTGCTTGTATGACCACCTAATATGAAAACAGGGATGAGACTCTCTAACAGACTAGCTTGTGTAACTGATTTAATTTCATCTGAGTTGTGTACTGTTCTTTCCATGACCAGTGAAGCTTTAATTCAAGACAGGTCTCTTTTATGTATTTCTTATGTCCTAAATATACTTTTCCAAGCATTTGGTGGTTAAAGGTACACAAAACATTTTTTCCCTTAAGGAATCAGAGTCTAAGGGAGAAGACATAAGCACAAAATCTGTGCATATGCTGTTTTGGGAAGTCAAGGGAAGGGTGCGCCTTCCCCTGATCTCACTTCTAAATCTTAAGTTTGTGGGCACAGCGAACTTCAAAATGAATAGTTTCCTGTTGGAAAAATAGCATGGTGGTGGATTGAGGGCAAGCAGTCCTGATAGTGTTTACTTTGATGATTTCTGGGTGATTTTAAAGAGAAGAATTGAAGAAATTGAAAAGATGTGGTCATTAGTGAACTGAGCTTTCATTAGTTTTCTGTTTAAAACTGTAGTATTTTCAGTACAACTAAGAGACTGTACTTGCTTTTCCTCTGAGCAAGTAATTTTTCTAGACAATCTGTTCTGATTTGTGTGGATTATTTTATGTGAAATGCTCATGTTTTTAGCCTTGCTACTTTTTTTAGTGTTTTAACTTGTAACT